GCTTCCGTCCGCGAACTCCGCATTGGGTGATGACCAGGACCCGCGGCCATTTTCCCTGCCGTGACACGTGGTCATGGCTTCCTGTAGGGAGGGGGACTCTCCTTCCAAGCAATATCCACCACCCCACCCACCTTCCTGTCCTCCACGCCAAGCAAGGTTAGTGTTCTCTCTCTTCATAGTGTACTGTACTGTACTTTGTGTCATATTTTTGTGGATTAAAAAAGAAAATACATATGATTCAGAATGGACTAACCGTATTTACATTGAACCTTATGGGAAAATTTGATTCGGGTTGTGACCAAAATTGGTTGGCGGCCAAATTTGTAGGGGTCAGAATGGATTAACCGTATTTACATTGAACCTTATGGGAAAATTTGACTTGGGTCGTGACCAATGCGGGTTGCGACCAGAGTCGTGGAACCAATTATGTTCGTGACCCGAGGTACCACTGTATTTGTTACTTGACAGCACCAATAAATATTGAGTTTAAAGCCGTATGATGACCTTACCTTTATGGCCTGAAAGATTGATGTGCAGGGGTGTTACCACCTTCCCTCCTAAGGACTTTCTTCTACGAACCACCATATTAATAACTCCTCCACCATTAAGTACTGCTTTTATTACTTGCTTTTTGTCTTTGTTGGTAAGATCCACGTCATTTATCTTCAGAAGCCAATCATTCACCCTGATTAATTAGAGCAAAACATAGGGGTTGGTTGTTGTTGTTTTTTTGGCCTAGTTGTATGTACAACTGATGATTAACCTGAGTTGCAACCATGTCTAACACCGCCATGGTACATATATTCACATCAGTACTAAGTGACTTCTCAGTGCTTCTCTGAGTAGCAACTTTAAAGATTCCTTCGAATACTGAAGCATCTGTGTTACATGCCCTACAGGGAGAATTTATGGTTTTTTCTTCTGAAAATAGCATTTGGAAACAGCACACTTTAAGAATTCCAGAAGCAGCAACATGCCAATATTAGTGGCACCACACAGATACATACATACATAACATTGTGCTATTCCCCGTTGGGGTAACCAACATTATGTAATACATGAAAAAGAGTAAGTAGCAGTAAGCAAAGAAACGAAAGGCAGGAGATAAAAGAAAGGAACATTTAATTATACCTAGTTTACATTAACAAGATTCACCATACTTTTCCATACTTTCTATCCTTCCAAACCATCCTTGCTTCCCCCACAACCATATACTGATTCATCCATATATTGATTCATATACTGATTCAACATCCATATACTGACCTTTTGCCTTTAAACTTCTCATCCCTCTCAACAATTCTGTCCAGTTTATTTCCTTCCCGTTTTCTAACCTGATCCATTCATTCTCTCTACATGACCAAGTCACCTCAAACATACTTTTGTTAAGGGTCACTCAGTTTTGTATGCAATCCACGGTCATTCCGTACTCATTCATTCTTAATTCTATCTCTTCTTGTTTTATGGCATATGCTTCTTAAGTACCTTTTGACATTTCTCTTGATAAGTCCAACTCTCATGTCCATACAACAAAATGGGCAGAATCATGCTATTATATAGAGTCATTTTCTTTCAACATTCATTCCTTGCAAGAGACAACAGACTACCCACCACCTTTCTTCTAACATTTGCACATCTTAAGATTTCTCTACCCATTTTGCCGTCTTTAGCAATCATTCTATCAAGGTATAAAATTTTAGCTATTTGTGGGGGGGTTTTTTTTGGACAGTGATAGATAAATAGGCTTCATATTTATCTACAGATCCTCCAAGCAAATGTAACCACCAATTACCCCTTTGGCCCTTCATGTCCATGCAGTTTGATTTTCTTCACAGATGAACAGATTCACATATTGATAATGACAATGTTTGGACTAACTACCAACAGTATACCTTAATCGACCATCTGCAATACTTCCTTTATCTACTTTGGTAACAAAAATTCCAGAGTCTCCCGGAAGGTAAGGTTCATTCACTCCTTCAGCCACATCAAAACCAAGAGCCTTCAAATCCATGTCTTCCTAAAAGATATGAATGCAATACATCATCTGTAGTGATTTTATACTTAAGACATGTGAGTATATATGACATATTGCTTTATATCCTATCTGCTTGTTGAGAGCTTTCAAGCAGTAGAGTTCTGTCACTAGCATGTGACCATGGTCTTCAACTTACCCTGTCTTTCTCAAACTCTACTACTTCTGTTTCCCACTCCATTGAATCTGTATCAATAGCTGAATCATGGGAACTATGAGCCATCAACTGCCGAAACCTTGCCTCTTTTTCCAACTGATTCTCCATCTTCTCTCTGTGGAAAGTTGAACATCACAATCAATTCTTTTTCACCCTTACATGCTCAGAATGAGAGGATGAAGATTTCCCAATTTCAAAGTGTTTGGCTCCTTAGAATTAAATCAGAATTTAATTTAATCCTTATTGCTGCTTAATAGGCAGATGATCCAGAGATGCTCCTTTGAAAGAAAACTGCCAAGTAGGCCAAGAATGAAATCTCCCAACACATTCAGCCTGGAGAGTCCTGGTCTACTTTTCTTTCCAATTAAAGTTAGACCTATAAAGATAGACAGATCAATTCTTTTCCTTCCTTCTTTCTCTCCTGTTGTGGGTTTATGGGTTTTAATAAATGCAATTTGCATACACACACACTACATATGCATATGCACATGTGTGTGTAGGTGTGTATTTCTCTCACTATCATGCACACGCAGTGTGTGAAATTATTGCATTTGAAATTACACAGTATTTGCACACTATAAAGATCCTGTCCTACTCCAAGGAGTACAGCAGGAAAGAAAGATGTGACAGATAGGATGCAAAGTTACAGATCAAAGTGTTTTCTATAACACACTTCAGTTCTTTTAATTCACGCCCAGCATCGTTCTTTTGCTTCCTCATGTCATCCAGATTACGAAGAGCTTCTGCCAAGTCACTCACAGCTCGGTCTCTCTCCCTCCTCAGGTTATCGCACAAAGTTCTTCAAAGTCAAACAAATTGAAACACAACATTAGAGGGCTGCAGTGCTACACAATGATCCCAGCCAGCCCCTATGCCCCCTCCCCCAGGATAAAATAAACTAACATTGTTTTTTCACCATGGTTTCAAAAATACATTTCTAGTCTTCCAATATATTTAACCACTTTGCAACAAATGTATGAATGAAACAGAGAAAAACAAACCAATATAACAGGCTTTTTTATACCTAGTTAGTCATTCAAAGTAGTCCAAGCAAGACGCACAACCATAAATACTAACTCCACCTTTACTGTAGAGTTATATTGACAGAATCTTGCAAGTTTGAAAGTACATTTCTCTTCCTTGGCCTTTACAGGCTAAGAAACTAGGGAGAGTCCCTTCTAAGATGCTTTCTCCACCCTTCCTCCTTTAGACTCAAAGCTTGTTTATCAGACCATTGTCTAGTCTGTGCTCTTCCTCCTGCTTTGTAAGGTCAGTCCCACATACCATTACACCGATTTTCATTTGTGAATATGGAAGCAACACTGCATTCATTTCCTACTTACTAATTTAGTAACAGGTCTGCAATGCTACAGAGAATTTCAATTTCAGTTTAATTTTCCTAGTATAAGACTTCAATCCTACCTAATGTTGGTGATATGATTGTTACAAATATTATGAAGTATTCACTCATACTGTTTGTCTCTAGAACTTTTATAATACAAATAAATTCCTGGGTAGTGCAATGTAGAATGATTTCCTAGAAAGTATCATTTTACCGTATGCTCTCTCGTTCTGCAACAATCTTATCCCGTTCCTGGAAAGCCCAATCTCGCCTGCATTTGGCTACTTCTGCCTCTTGCATTGCTTCTTTTAACTCTTGCGACATGGCTTCATATTGCTTCCGGAGCATTTCTATTTCTTTGTTTGCTCTTTCTATATCCAGTGTAGCTGAATCTTGTATCTGAGAAAGTAGAATGATGGATTCAATTCACAGAATCACAAGAAATACAAAACAACACAGAAAAGGGTTTACAAAGGCGAGAAGAGGAGGAGCCCATGCTGGAATTAAAAAAAAATAAATGAAAACATTCTTGTAACACTGTTTTAAAATATCTGGAGTTTTGGATTTATTTCAATAGAACCCCAAAGGATTTCCCATAATCTATTCTGTTGTTACTCCATGACTTCACTTTGCTTGCTAATGCATTTTACATCATTTTTTAAAAATTAATTTTGTGATTGGCATGTGTACAATTTTTTTGGGGGGGCAAAGATTTCATTTCCCCCCTTAATTAGTAAGGCATTCTGCTGTATTCTGCACACTGATTAAATCTCGATTATTAATGTGATCCTTTGAAGATCTCAATATTATTCGTATGTATTTGTTTAATCTATGTAAAGCAATTCAGTGTAGTTGTTTTTTTTAAAAAAACAGACAAATTGGAAAGTACCCAACAACTTCAACAAAATTTGGAAATTACAAGAAATAAAACAAACAAAAATAGAAAATCCCAGAAAATTTCTCACGTATTCCAAAAAAGGTCAAAATTCCAGTATCTGTACCAGATGTCAGTGATGAACGCTGATTAACAAAGAAATGCTAGCATACTCATTTGGATCCAAACTTATAGTCAAAGTTATGCTTAATCCATGGGCATCTGCCAGGGAGGAGGGGGCAAGAAGGATCAAATGATAATATGGGTTATGACATCATCATGCCAATGACACAACACGTGTACTTGCATCAAGATGTCATGGTGCAACTACACAACTGGCCCATTGTGTAATGATGTCATGAGAAAGTTGTCATCATTTTGACATTATCAGGACCTGTTATCGATGCCAATGAGTAGACCACTGAAGTTGGTAAATCAGTCATTATTCCAATATAAAGTAAGCATATACTAAATGCTGATGGTTGCAGAAAAAAGCACCTCCAAGAAAACAGAATTCCACTCTGCAATTTTTAAAATAGCAACAGTAGTACCTGGCGAGCTTGATAGTATTCTCTTAACAGGTGGTCTCTCTGGATAATGGCTTCAGTTCTCTCCTTTCTGGCTACATCTCTCTCTTCCTTCACTGTCTCAATATCCTTACATGCCTGGTCCAGTTCCTTCTGGGCCTCAGCCTTGTCTTTCACTTCATGGCAGTACTTTTCCAAAAGCTCATTCCTTTCACAGATTGCTTGGTCTCGTTCCACTAGAGCAGAATTCAGCTCCTAAAATGGAAACCATCACCGGTAGGAACATCAAGTGCTGAGAGAAACCTCTCATGTGATGAACACACATTGAAAAGTTAAAAGCTTGTGGCATTGATCAAAAGAAACTATAAGCACTGGGCATGTAATAAATGTTGTTAACTAATAACTTAAAGTTAAGTATTCTTCTATGGTAAGGGCTGAACAAGAAACACTGCCTGAGGACTATAAAAAGGTAATAGAAGAAGTAGAATGTCTTGGGGGAAAAAAGAGACAGAAGGAAACAATTGATCCTTCTTTTTCTTCTATTCCTCTGGCTATTCTTCCTGCTAAGCTTCTGAGGTCTTAAAAATTATGGTGAAGAACACAATGAAAAGATTGATCCTAGTGCACATCTCCTAAAAAAAAGGGCAAATTTCATTTAGTGGAACATTAAGAAAGAAATAAAAACAATTGATGGTATTATAAAGGAATGATTGAACCAAGTCATTCATCCCAAACCAAGTTAGAACTTGTGACCAACCTTCTTGTAGGTTTGATTTACCATTAATCAATTATTTAATCCCATTAAAATATCTCTCTTCTCATCCCTTACATTAAATATTTATTTTGGTATTTAAAAAGGGATGAGGTGGGGTCAAAAACTGGGAAAACAAACCACATCGTTTCCAGCCTTTTCACACCTCTGTTTTAGGTATGCATTGGTAACAATAGAAATTAATTCCCTAATGTCAATGGGAAATGGTATTACCTTAAATAATAGAGTCCAATAACAACTAAGTGTGTATCCATTGGACATTATCTTAATATCCAATAACGTGTATTAATTCTTTTAACTGAAAGGCACACAAATGGTATTGCCAATTTCTTATACCAAATCTTCCACTGTACTTTTGCTTGTACCTCATGGTTTACATAAAACTAGGGCTTTCTAAAAATATGTAATTATATATAAATCAAAAGATATATATTTGTTACCAATGGAACTTGGAGTCTGTGAAATGAAAAAAGGTTGATAAGAAGTACAGTAATTTTAACTGCAGCTGTTCTACCAAGTATTATGAGTTAAAGCTGTTGCTATGACAAGTTCTATTTTAATCTAATGCAGAAGAGGATCATAATTATGTTTCTTCAAGTGTTTGTCAATCCTTTGTAATAATTATTTTTAAATATCTAAATCTGGTTGAATTGATATGAAATCCAGTAGCTTCTTGAAGCTATATCTGTGATTAACCTAGCAGAAAACAAGTTATCAAAATTAACTTCTAAAATCTGCTGTTGTATACAGAATCTCTTCCAGGTAATATAACACTTGTAGTTCCTTTTAAATTATTTCAGGAAGTGATTTTTCAATTCAAGTACATTGTTAGTTTAGGAATTTCCCTGTCACAGCATTAACTATTGCTTTGGAAAACTTTAAAAGGCCTTCTTTTCAGACAGCTGCATGGAAGATAAGTGTCAATGTATAAGAATATCCAGTGATATCCATTAATAACTATATCAATATCAGACAATATCCTTCTGAATACCAGGAGATGTAAATAGAATTTTGTTGTGTTTGCAGCCTTCTCAAAGGCATCTGGCTGGCCAATGTAGAAACAGAAGGCTTGGCCAGAGGTCCAAACCTAAACCACTAAGTGCTACCAACATTTATTGCAATACACGTTTGCTTATATTTTCAGGGACATTGACCAGTGAAACTGAACACAGTCTGAAAAATTAGTCAACAGATCCAACAGAGGCAGCATTTCAAGCAGATGACTGGCTTGAATCTGGTGCTCTTGTGGATGATAATATTATTATTTAGCAGCTATGTACCACTTTCATATGTTTTTCTCATATACTGTTATGCCTGAAAGCCCTCTGATAAGAATGGCATGGCATACCTAGGTCAACTGATAAAATCACCTTTATGATACAATGAGTGGTTTCAACTGATGGTTGCACATGGGCAACCTTTTCTCAGCTAAGCTAACCAGGATTGGACCAGTTTAAGTTTTCAGATGGGAAACCTTCGCCTATTGATCTGAAACTATTTGGCTCCATTATATAGACTGCTTTATAAGGTACATTTGGAGCATGAAGTATGTAAGTACAAAGGGGAAAATATACCAGAAAAAGGCATTGCAAACCACTAATGTACTGTTGCCCAAAAACTACCTGGGCATGTGCATGGAGTTGCTCAGAACTGAGCTAAACTTGAAAGAGACAGTATTTTTAAGTCCCAGAAGGTGGCGGCATCTGTCTGACTTCGTTTAAGCTCAAAAGCTAAGCAAGGTCATACCCCGTCAGTACTTTGATGGGAGACCAGACTTAGGGCTATAGGCTGGACTGGGGAGTTTAAAAAAAGAAAAGAAAGAACAAAAAATATCCTGGGGCAGCTACACAGAAAGAGCACCTCCAAGGCCCCACTAGGTGACAGCATTTGCGGGAATGGATCTGGACCAACCCACCCTATCTAATGTAGTGGGATGGGCAAATGCCCTCAGGGAGAGGCTGTCCCACAAATAACCTGGCCCTGTGCCATGTAAGGCTTTAACGGTGATAATCAGCTCCTTGGCATGTCAAGCAGATATCTACATTAGAACCTTCTCTATGACCTGTTTTCTATATACAGATAATTGTGTGTGCCACTGAAGCCTTCATGTGTTCTGCTGGGTTGAATGAACCCCAGAAGGGATTAGCTAGCCCAGTGAAATGAGACCTTAATAGTTCCACCAGATGAGTAGATCACCTTGCAACTTTTCCTTGCCCAAATTCATTGAGCAATGGGCAAATAATTCAATAGGCTCATTGCTCAAGCAAATCCGCCGTTCAGTTTGCACCACACTATAGGGGCAGAATGACTTCACTTCTTTACCAACAAAAGTGTCTTACAATACCATACCTGTCTCAATGCTTCCATTTCCTCACTAGCCACTCTCTTCTCTGAAGATGTATTTTTCAATTTGGATTCTGCAAGCTCCAGCTCTGTTTGAAGTTTATCTACTTCTTTGATAACTTGATCCCTCTCGCTCATGATGAGACGATATTCACTGAAAACAGAGTCCCGTTCCTCCTTGTACTTCTCTGCATCCTTTGCTGCCTTGAGCTGCACTGTTTTATACCTTGTTGCTTCTGACTGCAACCGTTCCATCTCTCTCTGAAGCTCCTTGTTCTGGGCAGTGGCTTTGCTCAGTTCTTGTTGCACGGTTTCAAATCTAGAAGAAAATAGCAAGGTTGACCATTTGCAGGAAAAGAAAGGGGTTTTAAAATCCTTCCTCCTCTTACAGCCAGAACACAAACTGTTTAAAAATGTCACAGTAGAACTAACATGGTCAACCATGTTGTTTTTTAATCATGCATCTGTTTGTTCTCATATGATTAGAAAGCAGAATTAAATTTAACATCAATAAAAAGTGGGTGGATGCAAGGAGTTGAGCTTTGCCTTAGTTCATCTTTTAAACTGCCTTTTTAAATCTACCTCACTTCCACTTCTTCAGAGCCAGGCTGACTGAGTAGATACATCGTGGAAGTCAGGACAGTCCACCTTGGCAGACTGTTGATCTCAAAACCAGGCATCTATATAAACACAAACTCACATTTAAATGTGAACTGGCAAAACATACAGACAATCAAATGCAGGTGGTTCCGTTACATCTACTTTGGTCCTGAGTGTATGAGCACCATCAAGGAAGCTGAAAGAGGGAACCGAGTTAAGATTCCTCTAGTGGAAAAACAATTTGGGAAACTTATTTTACCTTCTCAGAGAAGTGGAACATTGCTGCTGGAAATGGACTGCTGTGTCCCGCTGTTTCATCAGCATGTCCATCTGTTTCTGGAGACGTTTGTTTTCTTCTTCGGTCTGTTCTAACCGGCTCAGATCAGTATTGTGGCTTGCTATCTTTTCATTGTACCGCTTTCTTAGTGCATCATAATCCTTCTTCACAACTTCTAATTTATCCATCGCTGTATCGTAGAGTTTATTCAAGATCTCTGATGACCCATTCTGCTTCATAACCTGCAAGAAGGAAATACATTTTCAACAAAACTTTATGGCAAGAATGAGACAGGTCTCAGTCTCATTTAAAACACAGAAAGTCCAGTGAATTTTTATTTGTACACATATATTTTAAAGTAAATAATTTACTTAATTATCCACTGGTCCATTCTGACAGTAGGCTGAATCCCAAAACTAAACAGAAAGTGAACAACTATGAATGCCTTGTCTCAATGCAATTTAAAGGTAGGTTCAATGTACTACACAGGACTGGTCGGGTGAAAAGGTGAGTTCTCTCTTTTTTTAGGTGTAATTTCAAAAACACCATTTCCCTATGAAAAGATACCTTACACATTAACTTAAAAATACTAAAGTGCCATAACGTTCAAGAAAAAAAGGCAGATGGAAGAGAAAGTTGGACTTTGAAGAAGCAGGATAGAAAGCGTATTGATGCTCTTGAACTCTGATGTTGGAGAAGATTCCTAGAACACCAAAGGTAGCCAAGAAAATGAAACAAAACAAAACGAATCATAGAAAGGATCAATCCAACTCAAGGCACAAATGACTATGCTTAAATTATCATATTTTAGAGATACTATATGACGACTCAGCTCCCTTGAGAAGCTCACAATGCTGGGAATGGTGGAAAGGAAATAGAAAAAGAGAACAGCCAGCAGGAAAGTGGACGGTCAGTTACAGCAATGATGGGTGCACCACTGGGAGACTTGAAAGGACAGGTTACGAGACAGTCTCTCTATGTGGTCGCTCAGAAGTGACGCTGACATAATGGCACGAAACCAGTCCCTCAAGAGCTCACCCTTCCAAATGGGCCTTTACGACAGGGAAAAGAGCATTCTTCTCCATCATTCTGAAATGTTTTCCTATTAGCCATTCTTCTCAGAGAGAAATTGCAGTTTAGAACTGCTGCACCAACCCTGAATCAATAAACATGGAGCCAAAGTTGTGAGTGGAGTGTGAAGTGGGAATGGCAAAGGGGATAGTTTTCAGACAAATACAATGCAGGGGAGCAGCAGGGAACCAGAAGTCCCATCCAATTTGTTTCTAAATCCTTTTTGTTTCCTCTCCTCTCAAGACTGCAGAAAAACCTGATATTCTTCTACCATGTAAAGACAGTAAATGCCCAAAACTGGATTTGGGTCTTGCCTTAGTCTTCTGGAATGCACCACTAACTTCAGGCAAGAAGGAGGGAGGGCTTCACAAGATTGAACTCCACCCCAAGACAACAATGAAAATCTTTGTGCACAGAGCAGGATTCTATAGGCCAAACTGGAATTAAAAGAAGACCACAGGCATATACATCTGCTAAACCACAAGATGGCACACCAGTTACGTTCTCCATTGCAGCCCATGAAATATGCATAAAAGTCAAAGGAGATAACATAATTCAGAAAATATTGCCAGTACATGGGGCACTGATTATTTGCAAACGTTTTATTAAACTTACTTATAGCCATTCCTTGTCCTTGGAGTTATTTGCAGAGAAGCACCTATTTCTAGAGGATGATGATGATGATTTCATAACTTAGGGGAAACACAGTATAGAATATAGGAGTTTCAGGCTTAGGTTTAGGCTCAAATTTCATACACTACTACTTTCTGCTGAACTCATGAGTAGCCTTCTCCTCAACAGGAAAAGACAGATGCTTTCAGTTCTGATCAGAGTGCACACACGAGGCAAAATATGACTAAGCCCGATGATGTCCTATCTGATCCTTTTTCTCTTCTACACAGTAGCAGCTTCTTTGTCACAGCATGTGGCAGTACCTAGCTGACCTTGACTGATCCCCCCAAAAGCTAAGCAGAGATGGACCTGGTTAGTTCTTGGATGGGCAACCAAATGGAAATCACTCAACAGTACAATGCACTGCTATAGTTACAAATTTAACAGTAATGAACAGCAACGACACATAACTTGCAAGAAGATTTAATTATTTTCTGCTGATTCCCCCTTCCCTTAAGTTTTAACTGGGCCTATAATTCCCTGATACAGAATTTGGAACAGTAAGTAAAATGTCTGTGGTTTTTATTATGTTACTTTATGTAGCTATGCAATGTACTGTTTAAATCCATACAATGTAGTGTGTGCGTGTGTGCATGCGTGCATACACATACATACATGCATATGTACATAGCTGTACATACACCCCCCCCCAATAACCCCACAAACCAGTTATGTGCAATTCAGATTTAAAGGCATTTGTTCTTCTGGAAAAGGAGTAAATGATTAAGAAGGAATATTAATTTCTGCTGGAAATGAGAACATGTGAAAATGAAGGCCAAAGAATCTCTCAGATATTTGGGTTGTAAACGACCTGCTCTTAAAAGTTCCAGTAGGGTGCAGCACCCGCCAACTTCAGACAGGCAGGGAAGAGTCTGGTTAAGATTTGGGTGGAAGATTATCAGAGAACCCCGGGGCTGCGGCTTCAACGGGGAAGTTAAAAGAATCCCTAGAAGAGTGCAGTGCCAGGCTGCTCCTGCACTATTGCCAGGAAAACTACAGGGGTGAGTCAATGATGTTTCCAGAAGTCAAGTCCGCTTGAAGGAGACTTTACTACTTTATTTTTGCTCTTTAAAAAAAAAAGGGGGGGGAGGTAGAGAAGAACAGTCAACATGAGTCTGAAAGTGGAGGAACAAAAGAGAAAACATCACAAGGAGTTCCCCCATTCAATTCCCTGACAAGGAGGAGAGCAAATAATCTGAGTGAGGCCAAAGGCTACCACCATGGAAACAGGAAGCTCGTACGCAAGACGCAGACAGCCCAGTCGGGCAGCGACTGGACAGAAAATCAATGGCCATCTCTGTTGGGGGAAGTAATCTGACCCAAACGGTCTGTTCTTCCAAGCTATCCGCTGCAGAGCTGTTTGAACAAGATTCAAAGCCGCCAAGCATCCGAGTGTCTACTTCACCGCCTGTTCTCCTGAGAAGGGAGTAGAGACACATCCTATTCTAAGAGAAAAGAACCAGTATTGACTAACAAGGAGAGAAACGGCAGGTTCTTTTTTCCTCTCCCAGTAATTGTTTTATTGCATTATACAAGGTGAACACATTATAAAATATAGATATTAGTTGGGTACAGTGCTATTTATGCAATATAAACCAGAACTTGTTAACCCTATGATGGTTTAGATAAATTCAACCTTTAAAGGTAAGGGGGAAAAAAGTTTATATCAATGTTAAATATAATTTCTAAAATGTCAGTAAACATAAGGTTGCTTGAATGACACAATTCAAGCTAAGTATGGCACTGCATGCTAAGAGTCGACACTGACTTGATGGCACATAATCAATTGTTCATAAATGTTTTTT